CAGAGGTGTTAACCAAGCTTAAACGCACCTAAATGCAGGTAAATATGGTGTGAATGACAATGCTGATAAATCATTACATACTTTTGAATGTTCTCTTGATGCATTAAATGCAGGTTTGAGAGTAGCAGTGTGAATGAGGCCTGTGAGTTGAACATTGGTAGATTGTCCATATTTGAGATTAATTTGGGAGTTCCTAATGACTTCCTTCACAGGTGTTCTTGATATGCACTTGACCTCCTTTTGATCTGCAACATGCTGTTTTCGCATTCCCATTGATATGAATAGACAAAAATGTAGCTCAGAAGCAAACAAAAGCCTACTGTTCACACAAGCCCTTAGGCTGCCTCAAACACTGTGGTGCAATAGTGCACTTGCATTAATGCTCCTTATGCTGCTTGTTAATGAGCTGCGTTAAGGCGGCCCGTTCCAGTTCATTTGGATTCAGAGCAACATACTGGAAACTTTTTAGCTATGCATGTGCAGTCAGATGAAGGAAACGCTCAAAACAAGTTCAATAACTCTGGCGATATGTCTCCCACACAGTAGGGCTTTCCTCGTTTGGAACATGACAGTAGATCAAATTATAAAAATAGGAGAAAGTAGAGCCAGACCAAACCCAGATGAAAGACTTCAAGATAATTAAAAAAATATATATATATTTTTTAAATCAAAGTCATAAAAACAGCCAACAAAAGTATGTTTAAATATGGAAACATAAGAGTAGATACCACAAATTCCAAAACACCCCATAACAAAAGTGTCACATGAACGTCAGATGTCTCGATTAATAAGATATTTTAGAAAGGATACAAAATTATAAACATATTAAAAACGTCACATAAAATAAACAAAACAAACATACCAAATTGCATCGAAAAGAAGATGTGAGAAAAAGTACTGAATAACCAAAACACAAATAGGACTAATTGCCAGCTAGAAAAAAGTACCAAAAACCACGCTGCTGCAATAAAATTCGTTAGCTCCTATGATAAAAAAAAATAATAAAAAATACAAACAACAAAAACCAACACCCAACTAAAGCATGGTACACACTACTAGTTTTTTTTTCTGTTCAACCCAGCAGGCTAATCAAACAGCCCCCGCCAGAACACTCCGGTCAACGCTCTCGGCCATTGGATGAGGAAGCTAATTGGGAGCAGATTGGCAGACCTTTTTCAGACATGCCCCTTTGACAGAAGTAGGCCGAACAGCCGGATTCTGTTGGACCAGCTGCTGTACACATGGGACTGAACGTTGGCCGGTTTCTATTGAACAGGCCGATGCCAACCAGCATTCAGTCCCTGCGTACTACGCTTTAGAGGCCAGGCTGCTGAAATAACACTAAATGGCTAATTTAACCCCTTGACGCCGATGTCACACAAATATGCAGCCTCGCAGAACTGAAATATTTTCCGTGGGGCCGCATATTTGCGTACTTGTCTTTGTGCTGTAAATAAATACATTTTTGTTTTCTTTCTTCATTTTCCAAAAACTTGTGGCAACAAACGAGATCTGCAAAGTACTCACCATGTTTCTTATCAAATTCCTTGGGGTGTCTACTTTCCAAAAAGGGGTCATTTGGGGGGGGGGGGGGGGGGTGTTGCTATCCTGGCATTTCAGTAGTCAGGAAGTGTAATGAGGAAATAAAGCCCTTTAAAAGCCTGAAGGTGCTTACTGGATCTTGGGGTCCTGCACTTGGCTAGACTGCCAAAAAGTCTCTCACATGTGGTACTCGGGAGAAGTAGCAGAATATATTTTGAGGAGTAAATTCACATATACCCATGGCATGTGTGAGCAATAAATCATTTAAGTGACAATTTTGTGTAAAAAACATTTTTTTGTCATTTTCCAAAAACTTGTGGTAAAACAAATTATTCTATTGACTCAACATGCCTCTCAGCAAATAGTTTGGGGTGTCTACTTTCCAAAAAGGGGTCATTTTGGGGGGTGGGGGAATTTTATGCCCAGCAAAAGAAGTTTATGCCACACATCACTCACTCTTCTAACCACCTGGAGACCAAGCCTTTTCTGACACTTATTGTTCACTGAAAAAAAAAAAAAATCAGTATTTTTTGCTAGGAAATTACTTTGAACCCCCAAACATTATATATTTTTTTAAAGCATACACCCTAGGGCGAGGGAGCTTTTTTTTTTTTAAGTTATTTTGATTTAATTATTTTTACACTGTCCCTTTAATTTTTTTTTTTATCACTTTTAATGCTATCACAGGGAATGCAAATATCCCCTATAACTTCAATGGACATTGTCATATATTCTTTTTTGAGAAATCTGGGGTTTATCAGAATCTAGATATCTCCTCTACCCTTACATTATCTAATCTCACCAAGATCAGATGCTTTCCCAATTTACAAATGGCACGGTTTATATCCTGCGAAACTGAAGTGATGAAATATTCGTAGCTTCTGATTTCTTAGACTATAGAGATGATTGGCACCATTCCAGTCTCCAATCAGCTCTATGATCACCTGGCAGAAACAACGGCTGCATTCTCAGGTTCTTCAGGTGATGGCACAGAGTGGCCTGAGAATGCTGTGGAGGGCGGGGGGGGGGGGGCATAGTCTCCCGCTGCTTGTAAAAGCAATCCTGCAGCTAATTATCCACTAGAATTGCTTTTACATGAAAGCCAATTTTCGGCTGAAAAAAACAATACCAGGATGATGCCTGCAGCTGTAGGCATCATCCTGGTATAACCAAAGTCCAGTAATGTACCAGTACGTCGCTGGTCCTTGTTGGGTACAGTTGCAAAAAAAAAAAAAAAAGTATTTGAACTCTTTGGGATTACATGGAATTTTGCATGAATTGGGCATAAAATGTGCTCTGAACATCATCTAAGGGACAACATTAGAAGAACACAGTCTGCTGAACATAATACTACACAAACATTAGATGTTGCCATGGTTTAATTGCACATAACATGTAAACATTCACAGTGCAGGGAGGAAAAAGTATGTTAGGCCCTAGCTCAATGACTTCTCCCAGAGCTAATTGGAGCCAGGAGTGAGCCAACCTTGACTCCAATCAGTGTGATGATATTGGATGTGTTGCTGACAGCTGTCCTGCCCTTAAAAAACACACACCTGTTTTGGGTTTACTGGTTTCAAGAAGCACTGTCTGATGTGAACCATGCCTCGCAGAAAAGAGCTCTCAGAAGACCTACGATCAAGAATTGTTGACTTGCATGAAGCTGGAAAGGGTTACAAAAGTATCTCCTTAAGCCTTGATGTTCATGTGTCCACGGTAAGACAGACTGTCTACAAAATGGAGAAAGTTTAGCACTGTTGGTTTAGCACCTAGGAGTGGTCATCCTGTAAGAAAGACTGCAAGAGCACAGCGCAGAATGCTGCATGAGGTAAAGAAGAATCCCAGAGTGTCAGCTAAAGACCTACAGAAATCTCTGGCACGTGCTAACATTTTTGTTGACACATCTACAATAAGGAAAACATTAAACAAGAATGGAGTACATGGGAGGACACCACGGAGGAAGCCATTGCTGTCCACAAAGAATATTGCAGCACGTTTGAAGTTTGCAAAAGAGCACCTGGATGTTCCAAAGCACTACTGGCAAAATATACTGTGGACAGATGAAACCAAGATTGAGTTGTTTGGGAAGAACACACAACACTATGCAACAGCACAGAATACGCCTTCTGGAGTGGCCCAGTCAGAGTCCTGAACTCAACCCGATTGAAATGCTGTGGCATGACCTTAAGAGAGCGATTCACACCAGACATCCCAAGAATATTGCTACACTGAAACAGTTTTGTTTAGAGGAGTGGTCCAAAATTACTCCAGATCATTGTGCAGGTCTGATCTGCAACTACAGGAAACGTTTGGTTGAGGTTATTGCTGCCAAAAGAGGGTCAACCAGTTATTAAGTCCAAAGGTTCACATACTTTTTCCTCCCTGCACTGTGAATGTTTACATGTTATGTGCAATTAAACCATGGCAACATCTAATATTTGTGTAGTATTATGTTCAGCAGACTGCGTTCTTCTATTGTTGTGACTTTATGAGCACACTTTACGCCCAATTCATGCAAAACTCCACGTAATCCCAAGGGGTTCACATATTTTTTCTTGCAACTGTATATATGCTATGTTTTTTTTTTTTTTTTTTTTTTTTTTTGTATGCAGCCTGTGGCCTGAATGAAAAAAAGAGAAGAAATCTCTGCCAGAAAAAAGTGTGTGGTATGCCCACCATTAGAATATACCGCCCTGCATCCACCCACTTCTAATGGTGGGCATACATTAGGTCGCACGGTGCCACATGCACCAATTCCAAGATTGTACAAATGTCTAAATAGTGGCACGCTTGAATAAAAATTGTCCACGTATAATTGGTACCCCATATGGAAAAAGATGACACCAAGTCGCAAAACTATCTTGCCACTACTCCTCCCCATGTAGTCTGGGCATCCGGGGGGCTCCACGTGACTTTTCCCTAGTAAACCCAAAACTTTTAAGTATAGCCTGTTGCTCTCTCACAGGGGAGAAATTGTTTGAATGCAAGGAGGCCAGAAAAATTAAATGACGGACTCATAAACGCAGATGTCTTGCTGGGGAGTTTAGACATCTGCAATTTTTTGGTTAAGGTGATTTGCGAGGGGCTGAATTTTGTGGAGCCGGTCAAATTCAGGCTCACCTCGAGGACGACAGTGTATTGTTGTTGAAATGCATAAAACAGATTATTCTCTCATATCTATGCCTGACCCTGGCAGCAGAGAACACTGGCATATGATGAATCGGGTCTGTGGACCAACACAACCACAATTCTTTTTTTTTTTTTTTTTTTAGTAATGCCCATGTTGAGAATTAGACCCCCCAAAAAAAGATTTGGAAACCGTAATGGGTTTCCATACGAATGGTCTGGCAAGGTTTGAATTTTGGTTGGCGGCAATAAATTGTTGTGCATATAAATTGCTTTGATCCACAATCAATGTATACAGATCTTCCATGAAAAACAGCTCCAAAAAATCAAGGGGGTTGGGCAGTGAATGGGGGATGTACGGGAGCTACAGAATTTGTGGGCTACAGATTTGTGGGCTGCCAATTGGGATTTGGTACCACATCTGGAAAGATACTAGGGGCCCTATGGGCCTCTGTGCAAATTCTTGGAGGTTGCGGAATAATACTTGTGCTTGCCACCGCACCAGCTTGTACTGCACTTATGGGACTCGCCACGTCACCAAGTGATACTGCAGTGCTGGTATGTGAAAGACCAGGATGTACTAGGCCGCTGGTGCTCGCCAGTTCATCTAAAAGGTAGAGCGGCACTAGTACTGGCACTATGCTGCATATGAGAGTCATCAAAATTTACTAGCAAGTGCTAGCAGAGATCAGGCCTGATTCTGCAACACTGCTGTTTTGTGTGCAATGTATCAAGTGACCGTGACCTACTGACACTGCACTTGCAGAGAGAGAAAGGGGAGGGTAAGCGTAGGGGCTAAACGCAGGTGCTGGCAGGTGCCGGGGACGATCCCGCTAACGCTGTGTTTTTGGGAACACTAGTATAGTGCTGATCTGGTCAAAGATATTGATCCGTTCAGACACTACACTAGCAATGGAAGTTTATTGTGTATGAGCGTGTTCCTGCCAATAAAGGGGTTAAATGTGATTACTGGTGTACTGACGGGCAATCTGACGCTATCTGGGAGGGGAGCGAAAACCATGGGAGCGCGAATCACGTATATATACACACACACGTGATTTTGTGCACCCGTGCCGCCCTGTACCAGTATTTCTGCTATAGGGTAGTCAGGAAGCAGTTACAGAAGCGGTTTGCGTTACGGAGCTGTGTTACTTTAACTGACAATTGCGCGGTCATACAACGCTGCACCCAAATGAAATTTACGTCTTTTTCCCACAAATTGAGTTTTCTTTTGATATTTGATCGCCTGTGCGGTTTTTATTTTTTGCGCTATGTAAAAAAAAAAAAAAAATTAAGAAAAAAAAATATTTTGGACATTTTGCTATAAAACATGTCTAGTAAAAAAAAAAAAAAAAAACTAAAAATTTCGTCATAAATTTAGGCCAAAACGTATTCTGCAACATGTTTTTGCAAAAAAAAAAAAAAAAAAACCCAATACGTGTAAATTAATTGGTTTACATGAAAGTTATAGCGTTTACAAATGGCGGTATAGATACTGGATTTTTTTTTTAAACACTAATAATGGTGGCGATCAGCAACTTATAGCGGGACTGCTGCGGACATTCTGACACCGGGGGGAGTGCTTGGTGTCACTGACATCCCCAGTGACAAAAAAAAAACAAAAAAAACACTGACACTGTACTAATGGCACTTGGGAAAAAGGGGTTAACATCTAGGGGCGATCAAAGGGTTACTGTGTGGTGGGAGTGTTTTACTAGGGGGCGGGGGGTGTGTGCTTCACTGTAAGCACACTGATCAGGATGGATGTGCCATCCCGAGCAGTGTGTCCAAACTGCCCTTCTCACTGTAAAACAATTCCCATCATTCCTTTGGAATTGTAGTGAATGGGCATGGAGAAGTCATACAGACAGTACAGACCATCATATGACACTGTTACAATGGGCAGGTCACAGTGGGGGCCTAAGGGCCTAGTCACACTATAAACCAAGCATGTACTGCAGGTTTTGGCATGTGCAGTGCCGTACATTTTTATGTGCATTTATAGTGCATTTTTCCTAAGCTTGCATTTCCTTTCAAGACACTTCTGTCTACTTTCTTCTTTGGGCTTTTATGCATTATATACACATTTACACACATTTCTGTACATTTGCAATGTGGAAAAACGCAGCTTACTTTACTTTATTCATCGCACTGCAATAATGTGAACTAAGCCCATAGGATAACCTGGATTATAGACTATCTATGCAGTTGGAGTGCAGTCAAAAATGCATCCCACTATATCTGGTGGGAGTAGTAAAGGGTACAGCAGTGGATGTGAAGAGGAAGAGTGGATTTCTCACTATTGCTATACCTCTTAATGGAAAAGAGAACATACTAATTAAAGATAAAGAAGCAGCAAAATATATGTAGCAAAATTAGAAATGGAAGACATGGATTTACACTTTAACAAATATGAGATTTCAGTGACTGGATTTCACATATACCTTAACATACATTTATGGCATCCACCCACCAAGAGCTGTTAAATGGGGAAGGAGGGTGTGCCAGGCTGTATGCACTGCCTCAGACATCATGTATATTTGCACAGACCTTTGTGGATTCTGCTAAAAGAACTAGCCAACAGAAGTGACAAGTTTTTTATTCCTTGACAGAAAGGTTTTTTTTGCTCTAGCAGGATTGGTTTTATGATACATGTGACAGGTCAAGACTTTATTGACGTAGATCTGTAAAGTTATATATACCACATTTGAAACCTTGAAATACCAGTTGAAAATGACTGAATCACATTTTCTTAGAAACCAAAGTGGAAATCACAAGTTCACGTGACAATTGCTTATCTTTAAGTATACATGACATCAGATAATTAGAATTACATATACAGGTAAATGATTAATCTGTTACACAGATTTAACACAAAATGTAAAGGCTAAAGTAGCTATCTGCAATAAACCCCAAAAATACCTACACACTTACACATCATGTCTTTATAGGAATTAAAAAAAGACAGAAAACAAGGGGGGGGGGGGGGGGGGGGGGGGGGGGACTATATAGACAAAAAGGCAGAAGTTACACAAGATGTAGCAATCATGCACACAGAGCGGGACGCCGCGGCCCCCTCCATTTTCTTAAGAACTCTCCATGTTGTCCCATCATCCCCCCCTCCCTCACTGTTCATCCACAGTGACATCTGGTTGGTGTGTGTTGACAGAGGTCACAGGCAGCCAAAGCACAGCAGGAAGCTCCGAGCTAAAAAAAAACCCCAAGGGAGCTGGGTGCCTGGCTGTCTAAGAACCTGTGCAATCTGGCATATCGTAAAAGTATAACCCAAGCCTTTCCCTGAGTTCAAAGACATTCCAGAGGAATAATAAACTAGATACCACATTTAAAATCCATTTTCCCTTTATGTCTCATATCTTGGAATATGCAAGACTTACATAAAAACCAGGCCTATCTTCAGATTGACATATCAAACGGTTTGTCTTATCGTGACCGCACTCCTTAACTGGCATACACAGAAAAGCAGGAAAGCATATCTCCTGAACCATTCAAGTATATATTTCATGTTTCATCTCTAACCATTCCGCAGATACGGCTGAATATTAATATACTAGTGCCCAGGCCGGCAAATGTACCTAAGAAAAGTTATGAGCCAAAATATAAGCTACGAGGGATTCTGGTTGCAACTTAGGTCTCCACCCAACACCCCTCCCCAAAAGGAGACCATTGGTTACTACTCCAAAAAGAGACACCCTGCTGGGATTTGCTAGAATAAGGCTGTTATGCTTGGAGTTGTGTGTGAGAGAAGAGAAGAGTCTCCTGCTTTTAACATTGAAACTAGCAGAGACAAGAAATCCTTTTTGGCTCATGAGACTTGAAGCTGCTTAACCCAAGGCTTTTTGGCAAGTACTTATCTACCTAAACTTCTTTCTGTTATCTTTTTGCTGTGTTATTGCGCTTTGTATATTTATATATATATATTGGTTACATCTTGTTTCTGTAAATATTTTTATTGCACCCTTTTGACCTTTTAGTAATAAATCTATCTTTCTGAAAGTGTTGAACAGTTTCTAAAGCGCTTTAATGCAACTTCGAATTCCTGCCGCTGAAGAGCGCTACTATGTGTGTTTAACCCTCTGTATAACCTGTCTGCGGTGACAGTGGTATACAGACGCTTATCCAACCATCCTAGTGTTATTGCCGATATTGCCGAGTTTCCTCTTTCTCTGTACAAAAAGGAGGTGGTGGCAGTGTGAAGGGTTTATTGCGTAATTAACCTGACCCAGTAACAATCGCGCTCAGGCTGCCGGCACATCGATTTGTGGTCCAGTGAGATGGAAAATCGTTGTGCAGGGTGCAGCTGGGCGTGGCATTGTTACGCACATGACATCACGGTTTTAGATTGGCTAGTCCTTCGGTCACGAGTTTGGTGAGAAAGGCAGGGATATGACGCCGTGATCGTCACACAAGGCACTTTTCAATGTTTGAACATGTTAATGAAATATTTGAAGTAAACTTTTCTACAAGCGTTAGTGTTTTACAGACCTTAGAGTTGATTTACTAAAGGCAAATACACTGTGCACTTTCTCTAGATCTGAGGGGAAGCTCTGAAATGAGGTTTTGCTGATTTCTACCATCAAATCATGTGCAAAGAAAAACGTTGTTTTTTTTATTTCCTTGCATGTGATTGAGTATTCTTAGCAAAGTGAAGCTTTACCTCATTTACTAAGCTTTGGAGCAATTGAGCAGTTTGTTTGCCTTTAGTAAATCAAGCCCCTTGTTTAATGATGAATAATTTGTAATTATACATATGCATGGCAACGGTCATATTTCCTCAGTACATAAACAGGGCCTGCTTTCTGCATTGCAGTGGCACAAAATGGTTTTGTTTTATTTTATGCAAGTTTATGAATTGGCTAAAAAAATCCCTCCTTTTTATGGCTAATAGAAGAGAAGAAAAAGGTGATCATTGCAGATCTGTAGGTCAGATTGCTGCAGAGAGACCGCTGCTCTCGGAGAATATAGTGGGCAGTCTCCACTTCAAAGTTCAAGGCAAAGACATTATTTTTCTAGAGCAAGGGGCGATATACAAAAAAAAAAAAAAAAAAGAAGAAGAAGAGGCCACATAATGCTATATTACTGTACTAACAGTACTCAAGGTTCCCCAGCACACATAATCTAAACTTTAACATCTCAGGTTAAAATGTAGGTCTCTCTGTTGCACATACACTGATCAGCCATAACATTATGTTGACACGCCTATTATGGAGTAGGTGCCTCTTTTGTCACCAAAGCAACCCTGACCTATCACTTCTAGACCTCTGAATGTCTGCTGTGGTATGTGGCGCAAAGCTGTCAGTAGCTGATCCTGTAAGTTGCGAGGTGGGGCTTTCATGGATTGGACTTGTTTTTCCAGCACATCCCACAGATGGTTGGTGTATTGAGACCTGGAGAGTTTGGAGGTCAAGTCAACACCTCAATTGTGTTGTTGTGCTCCTCAAACCATCCTTGAACTATTTTTGCAGAGTGGCAGGGTGCATCGTCCTGTTGAAAGGGGCCACTACCATCAGGGAATGTTGTTTCCATGAAGGGGTGTAATTTGTCAGCAGTAATGTTTAAGTAGGTGGTAATGTCAAAGTAACATCTACATGAATGATGGGACCCAATGTTTCCCAGCAGAACATTGCTCAAAACATCACACTGCCTCCACTGATTTGCTTTCTTCCCATACCGTATCATGGCGCCATCTCTTCCCCAAGTAAGCGATCCACATGCACATGGCCATCCACATGTTGTAAAAGAAAAAGTGATCAAACCAGGACAACTTTCTCCATTGCTTAATGGTCCAGTTCTGATGTTCACATGCCCATTGCAGACGCTCTTGGCTGTGGACATGGGTCAACATGGGCACGCTGACCAATCCATGGCTATATAGTCCAATACATAAACTGCGATGCACATTTTTTCTGCTTTTAACACTTCAACTTCATGGAAAACGTGCTTACTTGCTGCTTAATATATCCCAGCAACTTTCAGATGCCATTGTAACAAGATAATGCCTGTTAATGATCTTAATGTTATGGCTGATCAGTGTACTTGCAAATACAAGAAATGTCAAACTGCTGTGTCAAGGCACCACTGTAAAGTGTGGTCCATAACGCAAAAGTAACCGACCTCAGAAATATGGTAGACGCATAGCAGTGCATAAATTGACAATTTTTTGCTTTTTCCCATGAAGAGCTCACTGTGACTGTATGTCTGTGTGTGCATGCACAACATATTGTGCTTGAGTGGACCATAAATGGGACTACAGGAATAAAACAAAGCTCTGGCTTTTAATATAGAATTGAAAAAAGAAAGGTAAAAGGAATCCATTTTTTGACTAAAAGTCTTTATGAATAAGTTTTTTTTTAATTTAATTTTAATGCTGCAGCCATGCCATTCTTTGGGTAGCGTATGGTGAGCCTGTTTATTCATGCTGAGCAGTTCTGTTAAAGCAGCACAGAGGATATATTTCAAAAGGTCATTGTTTATTTAGAAGCAGTTTAATGCTGTAGAGCGCACACAATGGAAAGCCAAGGGACCCCTTCCCACAAGTAAGTCTCAGATCTCATTTAAAAAGCATACCAAGCTATTCCACATCTAACCAAATGATACCATCACTGGCAGTAGGCTTATTTTCTAGTGTCAAATGCTTGCTGGCCAAAACAAAGCTGTAATTTCTATCTCAGCATGTAGAACTGTACACTGCTGATGGCAAACTTAAAGCAGAACTCCAGGCAAAAACATGTTCTTGTTGCTGATTTCCTACCTTCACTGAAAATGTCATCCATCTTCTGGTTCACTCATTAGTCGCTCTGAAATAGCCTATTCATTTTCAAATCAAACCTTTAGTTCCCTTTGGTTTCAGTGATGTAATTCAGCCCCACTTGCAGTGGTGGGTGGACAGAGACTCTTAAACACATTCAACATGTACAGGCCTAGAGTACCCACCCATATTCACTACAATTCTCTGTGATTGATGGGAACTGTAGTTTCCTTTCCTGTTGAGAGAGAGATTAGAGGATATGATGTAATCCCTGTTGTTACACCTCATCCATGACAGAGCAGATGCTGTTATCTTTTGAATTACAGAGGGGAGATCATGAAAATTCATTTAGACTTTTCTCCTAAATGGAAAGGATTTTCAACATTTTATGAACGGTTTAGTGCTTTGTGTAGGGGGGTGTACTATCGGTGATTTTTTTTTTTTTTGCCTATCAGAAAGTTCTTCCTTAACAAAGAAATTAGAAGAAAAATATTTAAGACTCATGGAATGAGATGGTTGTATGACCAAAGCAGTACGAATGGGAAAAAAATAACATTTGTTTGTGTTGATGGAGGAATCTGTTGTCAGAATAACCTGATCAACAGCTGCAGAAGCTGATCAACAAGTTTCCAAATTTATCATTCAACAGAAGTCGATCTAATCAATTTCTGTTAAACAGGGATGCCTATACACTGATCCCTTCTGAACTGACCACAATTTGATCAATTAATAGAAAAAAAAACACATACACGCACAAAACACAGAATGCAGGGTGGATAAAAATCAATGATTTTTTTAAAATTTTTTTAAAAAAATCAGATTTGTTTTATTTAAATCGGATTTTTTTATTTAAATCGGATTTTTTTAAAATAAAATGCTTTGAGGAAAATATATTACCATCCAAAGGTTATTCCATCATGAAATAAAGATTAGTTTTTTTAATTATGTAGAATAAGGCTGTATATGTTTAATTTTTTTGGTAAATAAATTCCATTAATCCATTTACAATGTCATGCTCTTCCAGAGGTTTTTGTAAGATTATTGGGCAGTTTCTCTGCCTACAAGATATTATCACAGATGCTCGGTTTACTTTTGCAGTTCTCAAAACTGAATTTGACTCAGCGGAGATCACATGCCTCTTCTTCACAGCAAAAAATGTTATAACATGAACAGAGTTAAGAAAAAGACCTTAATCCTAACTTCTACAAACCTATGAATACAGAATCAACCCCTTCAGTGCTAAGTTTCAAGAAGTTCAGTGAATAGAAACAATATTTTTCTGATTGTTTGGAGTGGAATAGATCTGCACAAGAAGAAAGTGAAACTAAGTGTGAGGAGGAGGGGCTGACAGTCTAAGTTTCTTAAAATATATATATTTTGTTTAGCCAAATTAGTTAACAAACATGGATGTTTGTTTAAGCAAATCACATATGCTGTAATGTTATTGTTTCAGTTGAATAAATCTATTTAAATTGTTATTATTAAGGTAATGATTATTTTTCTCCTTCCTAAGTACAACAGAAAAGTTGTCCAAATATGAATGATTAACCTATTAAACTGGGGATAAAAAAAAAACTAACATGAAAAGTTGTTATTCTAAAAATCTTTATCTACTTGCATATTAAAGTTATACCAGCAACAATTAGTCTATGTAGAAAACTAGGATTTAAATCAAGCCTTACTGACTAGTGATTTAAATTGTGATTTAAATCAGTTTGATTTAAATCAAATCCACCCTGACAGAATGCATAACTCATTTATTGTGCACAATACCATACCAATATCAGCAATACAAAAGGTCTCAGAAAACCACCCTGTTCAAGCTTGCAGTGTATGGCAGGCATTACCCTGTAATAAACCTATTCCATGGGTTATCAGAGGATGCAAGATTATCCCACACCCATCCTCTCCAGTAGCTTCTGTTCTTCACTCCCATCCACTTCATTCATGCTCCAGTCCACTCCACCATGATGGAGTTGGGCTTTACCCAATAGCCGCCCAGCCATTAGTCATTTGGCGGCCGGCAAAATGCTGTAGATTACAGTTTTCATGCTTGCAGAGCCGTGCAATCTGTCACCGGCCGATGACAGATCTTAGTACCGGCCCCTGTTGATGGTACCATGTGACCTGCTGTGACCAATGAAGTATGTCAGACTGTCTACTTTGCAAAAAGGGGTCATTTGGGGGATATCTGTACTGTTCTGACATTCTTGGACCTCAAGAAATTAGATTGGCTGTCAGTACTGAAGGACTGATCAATATTCAGACCTATACCATAGTTTGGGAACTCTATAACTTTCCTACAAACTAAAAAATACATCCTAATTTGGGTTATTTTCACCAAAGACATGTAGTAGAATACATCTTGGCCTAAATTTATGAAGAACAATTATTTATTTGCAAACTTTTATAACAGAAACAAAGAAAAACGTGTTTTTTTTTCAAAATGTTCAGTCTTTTTTTGCTAATTTAGCAAAAAATAAAAACCCCGGCGGTGATTAAATACCACCAAAAGAAAGCTCTAGTTGTGTGAAGAAAATGATAAAATTTTAGTTTGGGTACAATGTAGTATGACCGCGCAATTGTCATTCAAAGTGTGAGAGGCTGAAACCTGAAAAATGGCCTGGGCAGGAAGGGGGTAAAAGTGCCCGGTATGGAAATGGTTAATGATACCATTTGCAAAATGCCACAAAAACGCAGCACAGCAAAGAAAAATGCAGAGATAGGAGTATGGCCTGATTATTATGCATAACTTTCATCTACAGATTCTACAGCCAGATTTAATCTCTAATGATTTCTATTTTATATTTATCTTAATAACAGACCTCGGGGTCAGAAACAAGCTCTTCAGAACCTGGTAATGCTGCATCATTAGGTGTTGTATCATCTGTGTTCTCAGACATATCTGAAAGTAAAATAAACATGATCAGCATGCATTCTGTTTATATAATATATTTACTACTAAAGTAGCACTTTTATAATCTAAAGCTAAAAGCACTCTTCTCTATCTCCATACAGACCTACCAAACGTTAACGTGTTTGATCTGCAAAGATATGAATATTAAGCTTGCCTCCTTATGGTTAATTTAATATTCCTATGTCAGCAAGTTAGATGGTGCATAAAAAGCTATGTTTCAAGGGTCCAACAACCATGATTTAAAGAATAACCACCACCAAAATTGTTAACCTGTTAAGAGCCAAAATGATAAGTGTCACATTGAACCCAGCAGGTAATGCTAAAAAAGTGTTTTGATGCACACCAGCACTAAATTAGTCCAACTGAATAATTTAAGCTGGGCAGTGAAGTCTGCCACCATTACACTAGAGTTGAATACCACCTTACCTTCAAGTGGTTAAAATTTTTGAAATGAAATATGAACAAAGCATATCACTCTATAGTGCATACTTGTCTCAATCCAGAGCACTAAATTATTTCTGTCTGCTGCCTCATGGACTGTGGTTCCCAGGAGCCTCTGCCTAACTTCAGCAAAATTAAGGAACAGTTGGTACCAGGCTCTGGCCAGGGTTGGTCGGGCTGCCAGGAACACAAACCCCAAAAGGTTCCTCTGGACACTGCATCCCCGAAAACACAAAGGAGATGCACAGGGGCAAATTTAGATACCTGTGTCAGGGTTATGTATCAGCACAAGAGAAGTTTATAAGCATTTTCCTAGGGGAATATGTTACGAGAGCATTAAGAAGAGTCCAGCCAGAGTTGGTTCCTGGCAGACTGATCTAAGGTCCTGCCCAGGTCTGCTACCCACTTAGAACATAGTGAAGTACACGAGGGTTCATGGTGTCCATTAAGGCTGTGTAGAGATTAGACTCTAGGCCTTTTAGGGAAGGGTCCTTGCGGCAGCAGTTTTTAAATAGAAGTAATAATAAAGTGTAGCGCTGAAGAAAATTAATAAATTAAAATAAAACCAGTGTCACCACACAGAATAGATATCAAACATGTGAAATGCCAAAGTGATGCACAATAATATTAGTCCTCAAGTAGGGAAAAAGGTAATAGTCACAAAACTGTGATGTGATCAATCGATGAAAATATATGTACAAGTGACTTCTGTCGCTTCCGCGTTAATCCTCTCACCAGAAGCAAGTAGCAAACCAGCATAGAACAAACTGACACTTAAGGGCAAACTTGCTCAATATCCATCTCCAGCCAACGGTCTATCCAGGGGTAAGATTCCTCTTAGAGTACAAGCTCATAAAGCGAGCCCAGAGACAACATCATATAGTGTAGTATGTTTATTTAAAAGCTAGCAACCATGTGGAGCTCTCACAAAACAATACAATAGATAAACACTTACAAAGATGGCCGCCGTACCGCCACGTGGACACAGCGGTATGTCAGCATGTAGGCTTCTCTCTGATGCGTTTCGTGCACACGCACATTCTTAAAAAGGGATCTGCCCATTGCCAGCGCCATGACAATGTACGCCTTATATAAGCCTAGGGCGTGTGACCGAGCTGGCGCCATTTTGTTGAAGGCGTACAGTCGGACAAGTGCCATTTTGCTCTAGACCAGAGACTCATAACAGTCTTAAACCGAAGCTTGAAAGAATCGCTCGATGTACGATCTACAGAGCATCATTTAGAGGCAATCGAGGCTAACATGAATGTGGGATATCAATTATCTACACATCAAGAGGTGAAACAAAAAGATCTGGGTGACAAAGATCCTGAAAAAAGCGCTTTCTGATTATGTGCAAACTCTAAGGGGGCCATAAATACCCGTAGGGGCATTGAATCATACATATGGCCAGAATATACTGACAGCCCGCTAGCGATGACACCAGGCTGCATGATATCTAGTTGAACAAGGCTGTGATTATATGCAGACTATAACGGGGCCATAAACACCTATAGGGGTAATGAGTCATACATATGGCAGAAAAAAAACTGACAGCGCCCTAGTGATGACAACAGGCTGCATAATATCTAGTAACATAAGGCTGTGATGAAAACTGGTCTTAACATGTAATAAATAGCACATATAGTACATGAAAAACATATGCATAAAAACAGATGTATATTAAAAGAAAAAGACAAAAATGCATGTATACTAAATATCCATTAGACATCGTAAGAGAAAAATACTCAGGAAAAATAGAGACCAATATAAATGCCTTATAAACAAAAAAACAAAAAGATGACAGTTGAGCAAAAAGGATATCAGACGCCACTGTAAGTACTCAAATACCCTAAGGAGGTGGCATAATAAGTATTGGCCGAAAGGCTAGCTGTTATCCATAAAGCAATAAGGGGGCCAAGGTACCCATTTCATGAATCCACTTCGTTACCAATCTAGATACTGCTCTGCGTTTATTATTTCCCCTCCAATGGGGATGCACAAGATCTATTCCCATAAATGACAAACAGGAGGGGTCCTTATGAACCCTAAAATGCTTAGAGAGAGAATGTTCCTTAACTACTTCCCGCCCGGCCTACAGTCAAATGACGTCCAGGCAAACCTCTCGTCCCTCCAGGAGGGCGTCATATGACATCCTTCCTGGATCGCACATTGTGCGTGCCTGCAGGGCCATGCTGTGGCGAGATCTGTCACCGGCTGTGTACTTTGGACATGGCCGATGACAGATTTGTGTACTGGCCCCATTGCCAGTACCATGTGACCTGCTGTGACCAATCACAGCAGGTCACATGATAGTAGTTGTATACAATGGATGGCTTCCTTTCATGCCATCCATTGTAAACAAGCCTGTCTAGCTGTGATTGGTCATAGTGATCACATGCACAAGCTGGGCCAGTCACAGCTCATGTGTGTCATGTGATTAGCCGTGGCCAATCACAGCTAATCACAACAAAAAACCCTGAATTAATTGGATTTCATTCATTCAGTTAAATGCTTGTTTATAGCAAAGAAATTATTTGCTATAAGCAAATTGTGTAAAAAAAAAAAAAAAAAAAAAAAAAAAAAAAAAATACTGATCAGTTCCCTAAAGTAGCACAGTGTTAATATGGTAACTACTTATACTACTTTGGTCATAGTGTAATATGAAAAAAAAAAGAAAAAAAATTAAAAAAAAATAAGAGTGCAAGGGCCTTTTCCTCACATTATTGACTGTGCAGATCATGCATCTGTTGCAGGGAAAAAACCTTTCAACTCTGAAAAGAATGTCCACACATTAGGTGGATCCACTATATTAGGACCTATCCTGTGTCTCAATGGGGGTGCTTGTCTGAATATCACCTCTGGCCTGTCCGGTAGAAAACCAGCCAAGACTGGATCCTCTTTCAAAATCCTCCAGTTCCTTTTGAAAATCCCCTCTCTCTCTCTCTCTCTCTGTGTTCTGGACAGAAATAGAAATCGGACAGGGGTTCTAGCCTTCCCCCTAGTCTACTAAAGAAAAGCATGTTTCATTCTGTCTGGATTGCTGTTGGAGAGATACCCTCATATATGGTCTAGAAAAACAAGGTCCCCAGGACAGGAAGTGAGGGTAAATCCATACAGCACAATACCCATATGGCACAATGATGGGTTGCCTAACTAATGGTGGCAGAGTATTAGGCCCCTTTCATACGGCCAGTTTGTTGCGGCCTACGGATTCCTCTGGTAAGAATCTGTGGATTCTTTCTACAGGTATGACAAGGAATGTCCAGTCTCAGATATATATCCTGGAACTGCAGCTCATCGCTCTGTGTGCGGCTACATGCTATCACGCACATTTCAGGACCATAAGGGAATCCCTTACTCAAGGTAAAAGGTGACGTATGTGCTCTCATTACCTTTTCGGGACCATTTCTGAATTTACTTGAGTAATTAGAGTATTTACTGCTAAAGCAAAATTAAAGCAGTTGTAAAGATTTTTCTTAAAAATAATAGAAATGTACTTTCCTGCTCTGTGCAATCGTTTTGCACTGAGCAGCCCTGAACCTTCTCTTCTAGGATCCCCTCACCCTGACAGTGCTCTTAGCTCCTCCCTTTTGAATGCCCACACAGCAAACCAGGCTGTGTGTCCCTAAACACACAGCTCCACCCCATCCCCACAGGATTTGATTGCCAGCAGCAGTAGCCTGCTGCCTCTGAGTTTTGTGAGCAGAGAGCAACGCTGCTGTTGTCAGGTACACCACTGGATTGAAAAAGGACTTGGGTAAGTATTTACTGGGGTGAGATGAACATGAGAAATGTTTACCTTAATGCAGAGAATGCATTAGATTAAAAATCCTTTGCCTTTAAAACTACTTTAACCTTTCTTGATGTCCCCAAGATGCTAAAAAAATTATTTTCTTTGGCAAGTATTGAGGGGGCTGGGGGCACTGGTCACTTTTGACTCTAAAGGTTAATTTGGTTTTTTTTTTTTTTTTTTTTTAAATAACAAACATGTCTATA